GGCTTGTCTTGTGACTTTGTTGCAGCCTCATGCACTTTTTATGCATTGACCAACCTGAGCCAGCAAAGGCTTGCCTGATGTCTCCTCTCCATGTCTATTACTGAGTGCATGACTGATGGACATGCAGAATATCGAGGCTAATACTTACCACCTAATCCATAAAAAAACCAACACCACCCTTCAACCCTCCCCACCTAAATAACCACATGACTCTCTCTTTTTGGTGTAAAACTGGCCATAGCAGCCATTTATTTAACATAACTCTTACATAACACTTCTTACAGTACAATCAAATAATAACTGACAGTATTGATCCCAACCGGGTCCAAGGTCTTCGAAGGCACTGTTACTCACTTCAAAACTCGGCTGTATCTGACACCCAATGAAAAGGCACCCAGCCGCTACTACACCGCCTCGGGGACATTACTACAGTTACGTAGTCCCAGATACTGCCAATGAACTCCCACCTTACCAACGTGACCTTATAATTGGGAAAGAACACCCATACCTATGATGGGCCCAACCAGGGGTGGGCTGACCATTTGGAAACTCTGGCACTGCCCGAGGGCCCGGGGTCAGTAGGGGGCCCCATGATATGCCCCTGGTACCTTTTTCATAGGCTTTTTTGAGCTTGGGCAAGGACACAGGAGCCCCATGATCCCCTATTGAGGGCTGGGGTCAGTAGGGGGCTCCATGAGATGCCCCTGGTACCTTTTTCATAGGCTTTTTTGAGCGTGGGCAAGGACACAGGGGCCCCATGATCCCCTATTGCCCGGGGGCCCCATGAGTTGTCAGTCCGCCCCTGATGCTGTATGAATGCCATTCAGCCCAGAAGTGCTGTGCGCACTCACTACATTATGACGAGTCCCTGGAAAGGGGGTGAGTCTTTGACAGCTTGGAGATAACAGGTACTGGGTTTGGATGAAACTGGACATCATTAAACCTGAAAAATGAGGCAGCAGCTAGCAATGGAAGCAGCATTAGGCTTTAAGCAGTATGCTTTATTAGTTTTTTTTGTTTTTTTTTAATAGGCTTTTTTGAGTTTGGGCAAGGACACAGGGGCCCCATGATCCCCTATTGCCCGTGGGCCCCATGAGTTGTCAGTCCGCCCCTGGGCCCAACCCATAATGCACCAAATTGTCACTTCAGCACCGCCTTCAAAGACCCATGGACCCCTGCCAGCTGACATGACAAAACAAACAGACAACACCTCGGGACACAAAATGCACTTCAGGACAAGAAACAAAATCAACAAACCCATACAAAACAAACAGGACAAACACAAAGAACAAACCATAACCAAAACAAACACAACAGCAAAACAAAACAATGAAACAGCTCCAGGGAGGGAGGGCAGGAGAAACCACACCCGTGCTAGCACAAGCTCCGACTGACCTCCGACAAGACCCAACCCACCTCCAAATCCTGGCAAGACCGCCCTCAAGCTTGCATACTCCAATCAGGTGAGTAACCACCCCCCTACCTCCTGCATATACTATAACCCAAATACACGCTCCGCCTTGTCTGCACGCCCCAGCCTTGCTGGCCCTCCTTTATCTTTGCTCAGTCCAGGCCCTGACTTTCCTCTTTGCTGAGAATTCCAGCTCTGACACTTCTATTACTCCTTCTGCTGAGACTTTGTACTGCTTAGCAATTTAGACTCTTAAATCAATGATCAGACCTTGAAGAGATCGCCAGTTGCCTTGCACTGTTCATCTTAAATTTGCAGTTACCCCAACGAAACGTATTACCTGCGATTTAAGTCTCTCAAAATAATACCAGTGAAATATTCCACACACCCCATTTAAAAGAATGAAAAATAACATAACATTTACCTCCAAGTATACCTTCGCTTTTGTCGAAAAAGCTAAAAAACAAAACAATCCCTTGATCTTTTTATTTTGCAAGTTCACTCCAAAACATGGTGCTGGAAATCTGTGTTCTATGTGCGTTTTCCACATGATGTACAAAATGCACTGCAGTTGCAATCTACAACTGATGTCAATATTAAGTTTATGACACCATAAACGCTTGCTTGCGCCGGATCACATGGTACAAAATTACTATATATATATAATTTATTTTTTATTTAATATAACATTTTTTTTCTCTGTTGAGCAGCATATTGATTATATAGTAGTAGTAGATGGGCTAGAGTTTTTGATTTTGTGTTAAAAGCATACAGCTTTGTCCTTTTTGATCTTTTTGGTTTTATTTAAATGCGAGAAGGAGGAGAGGGGGGAAAAAAGAGAGAAGGGGGTTAAAGAGAAGTAGAAGAAGAGGGAATGAACTTTGTAGACAGAATAAGAATATAAGTCTGTTAATGAGCCTGTCTGTACTTTTCCCCAAAAAAGTGGAGTTTTCCTTTAGCTGATAACAGATGAAGGAAATTAGCCGTCTCCAGCCTCATCTGTTCCTCAGTATTGCATCCAAACCTGTCAGCGTTTCTGCAGGCTGCTGCGTTTTGATGGTCATAATCGCAGTTGGCCTACCCTGCAGCACACGTTTGAGTCTTGGTCCTTAAAGTAATAAAAGCAATAAGTGTACATTTTCCTGTAAATTTTCCAAATTTGGGAGGCAGTCCAGAAGAATAATATGTCTTGGAGCTGATCGGACAGAGCTGTGTTGCTCTGCATATTCTATTCCTGGCTTTAGTGCAATCCAAGATCATAATTTAAAGAGAGATTAAACTCAAAACCAAAAATGTAAACTATCATAGTTTACCAATCATTAGATGTGATGGCTGCATTACTTTTCTGTTTTTAGGCTTTTACCCCTCTGTTTTCACCTGGTGATCTGGCCAGTAGCACATCTCCTGTATTGGAGTGCCCCCACTCTGGATGAAGGAGCACAGGGGGCAGATTAAGACGGCAGCATTATCAGTCTGGGAGGAGGGGGGTGTTGGATAGACTAGCAGATTTAAATACAGTAACAAATTGAAACTGAATTCCAGCTAATACTTTATAAGTAATTACAGCAAACAGGTTTTTTCGGGATAAAGGTTTTACATAACTACAAGCTGATCTATTTCAGCACCCATGTCAGGGTTAAATGGTCTGTCTTATCCTTGTAACTGCGAGGGCTTGTTCTTTTAAAAAACAGACTAACTGGCTGGATCACCAGATGAAAAAAAAAAAGAGAGAAAACCAATTCAGCCATCACATCTAAGAATTAGTAAGCTGTAACATAATAAATGTTTGGTTTTAATACTGCTTCAATGTGAAGATTATATGTTAATCTAGCAATACAGTGTTCCAATCTTGGACTCATTTGGGTGGAAGCCACCTTCTGTATATCAGCTTCCAGGCTAAGTACATGATCTTCATCCAATTATGAAAGCAGAAGTCCTTCTTTTTACAGAACCCATGAAGTAAAGGAACAAAGGTGAGTGGCCAAGGGAGGAACCCAGGAAGCTATTGTGGGATTGATTTACTAAAACTGGAGAGTACAAAATCAGCCAATCAGCTTCTAACTTCAGCTTGTTCAGTTAAGCTTTGGCAATAAAACCTGGAAGCTGATTGGTTTCTATACAGAGCTGCACCAGATCTTGCACTCTCCGGTTATAGTAAATCTCCAGTGTGTGTTCACAGGTTTAAATCCATACGATACAAATCTCAGTATGTACAGAACTATTGCTATGTATTGATTTCACTTTATACATTTTCATTCAAAACAGCGTCCCTGTGAAGTCATGCTCTGATGGTGACTAGAAGAAATAGACCATCTCATAGCCACTGATGTTCGCGGTATATGTTGGTGGCCAATTGTAAATCAGTGCTGATTCCTCCTCTTTAGCATTTGGAAAGTGATTTGAGTTTTTCCTGGCTATAATACAAAAAGGGAAAATTGCGTAATAATATTAACAAAGACATTTTTCACATATGAAAAGTCTAGTTAAACTGAGTTCTCTTACAACATCGGGCACTTTTGTATCAAATGTCTCCAAGCAACAAGCAATTCAGTACACTGCTCATGCATTCTAACTGCAACTGTGCTGGCATTTACCTCAATTGGACTGTAATAAATACCTGTCTGACAGATTAAAATCCTTTGGGGGGAAGCCTCTTGTCACATGATTCTTTTCTGTGCTACCTCCCTCTCCCTTTCTAGACCATATCAATTTTTTTTTCTTTCTTTGAACTTGTTACTATAGTGAGAACCACCCTTAACTACTTCCATTAATGTCATTATCAGGTTGGTAAAAGCCATGCAGGGGCAGCTACTTGAAGGTCAGTTCCTTCTGATACAGGCAAACCCCCAGAACTACATCTCCCAAAAGCCCTTTTCCTACCCACAGTACCTGCATTCAAATCCATGCACCTACTCCTGTCTGTGCAGCCGCTGTGTCTGCATCCACTTCTATGGGCTGCCTGTACACAGTACTGAAGTGGATGCACACACAGCAAAAGAGTCTCATCATGGAGGACAGGTCTCAGCCCTTGTATGAATGAGCCCTTTAGAGTGTGCAAGGAAACTGGAGTATCCAGAGGAAACCCAATAAAGCACAGGGAGAACATGCAGGTAGTGTCCTTGTTGGAATTCAAACCAAGGACCGTAGCACTGCAAGACAGTTAACCACTGAGCCACACAAGACTGTGTTGCACCCTCACTGATTTTCATGGGCATAAATGTAACCTATGCTAGTGATGCTCAACATTTTCAAATTGTCTTAAAATGTCAGAATAAAATGTATTTAGTCTTTTATTTTATCTTATTATAATATATTTTATTCTCAACTATTGTTTAACCCTTTGAGGACCGTAAGGTTTTGGAACGCCAAAAGAATCAATTTTTTTGTTTTTAAAGTTCGTACACTTCAGTTGCTGTAACTGAGCCATTTCATGAAATAATTGGCAAAAAGCTAGATCCATTTGTTGATAAGAACTAATATTTTGACTCAAACCAAAAAAAAAAAAATAGTTTTTAAGTTCTTAATCAGATGATACACGCAATTACAAACATGGGACAAATACGTCCCTTGGTCCTCAAAGGGTTAAACACTAGCTATGCTTTATAAAGAAGTTAATTGTAGTAAACCTGTTACCTTCATTAACAAAGAAGTTGGCCATATATTGTGATATCCATATTGCATTTTCAGAGTGTGGGAAGGCATAGTCTCTCTTCCACTGGAAGCGATTTACTTCTGCATGCCACTGCACTCCATAGATAGGGTAATCTCGAGCTATGGACATAGGAGAACTTAAATAGTTAACCTTACTAATCACACTCCTATTGTAAAACATAGATAGTATAGCTAAAATGTCAACTAATAAAGCATACTGCTTAAAGCCTAATGCTGCTTCCATTGCTAGCTGCTGCCTCATTTTTCAGGTTTAATGATGTCCAGTTTCATCCAAACCCAGTACCTGTTAGTCCAAGCTGTCAAAGACTCACCCCCTTTCCAGGGACTCGTCATAATGTTGTGAGTGTGCACAGCACTTCTGGGCTGAGTGGCATTCATACAGCATTATGTGCAATTGAAAGGCCACCTAGTGCTGCTCCCTAGGAAGAACAGGAAGGGCCATGACATGACATCACCAGACTAGCATAAAGACTGTTGGGAAAAGGGTATGTAGGGTTTAGCATTTTTTTTAACACATCTGAGGGGGGTTATATATAGGGTGAGTTTTAAAAGTCATTGAAAACATAAAGTTTCCATTTAAAGCCATTTTTAGAGTGGGGGAGAGTAAACATTTCTGTTAAGCCAGTTATAGATGGAGCAATTTTCTTTCATGCAACCCGCTTGATTCCCCCCCTCAACACAATCCCTGCCAGGAAAACCGTGATTACAGCTAGCAGCTATAATAGCCGCTAACAATAATCGCATCTAAAATCTGACAAGCTGGTTGTACTCAAGTTGATCGATCAGTCGACTTGGGTGCATTCAGTCTGCCCATACATGGTTCAAATCTCAGCCGGTCCCTGCTAACCCCCTCCGCTATTTGAACCATCTATGGCTGGCTTTAGTATTTGTCTATGAACCCACTGGGGAGATTTTCTCTCATTCCTTGTCCCTGTGACAGCTGTTTAAAAATGGAGAGAGCAGTAGACACTGGACAGCAATAAAAACATTATCAAAGGGCTTTACCAGTAGATGAGTGTAGGGAGTAGTGCTGGGTACAGGGGCGGACTGACAACTCATGGGGCCCCCGGGCAATAGGGGATCATGGGGCCCCTGTGTCCTTGCCCAAACTCAAAAAAGCCTATGAAAAAGGTACCAGGGGCATCTCATGGGGCCCCCTACTGACCCCGGGCCCTCGGGCAGTGCCCGGGTTTCCAAATGGTCAGTCCGCCCCTGGCTGGGTATAAAGAAAGAAGCTCCTTTTGGTGCCCATTTTGCAGCCATTGACTAGCTGATTTGTTAGTACAGAGTCACTTAAGTGATCTCCTAAAGAGTCCATAAATAATCCCCTCAGTGATATGTATCACTTTCTTGAATATGTTCTTCTTATTCAGTGATCCTCCACCACACCAGGTGAAAAACCTGCTCACCTCAAGAAAAGAAAATATGTGCTGATCTGGGTGTACTCAACTCCTCAGTCTCAGTGACACATCTTCTTATCGCCTCTCGCCTTCCACTCACTCCAACATTAGGCCAAAATTGATAGATATAAAAAGCATAAATGTGTATCCACATCCACTTCACAGCTCTGCTAGCAAGATAGTGGTGGCGTGGTAACACAGTACCGGCTCCTCCTTTCTAGACACGTTGCGCCCCCTCTCAGGGCTTCCTCAGTAGACCCATTTTCTTTTCTTGTCTTGAGGTGAGCAGGTTTTCCACCTGGTGTGGTGGAGGATCACTGAATATTACTAAAGAAGAAGACATTCGCGGAAGTGATACACGTCACTGAGGGGATTGTTTATGGACTCTTTAGTTTATCACTTGTATATGTTTTTCAGAGGAGTATTTCTGTTTTCTAACAATTATTAATTTAGAGAGTTGCGCTGCACTAGTAAATTGTGAATATATTTAGACAGTGAGGTGGAATCCACTGGTTTTATGTTCAGCAATCAATAAAGAGGTATTTAATAGTATTTTGGATTTAGGTGGGGAGTGTGATTGCACTGATTGATCATAGTTGGTTATATTTGAGTGATCTGACATCTACCAGAACTGAGATATCAATTTTAGGTCCCATTATGAATTTTGGAATATTTTTAGATAGCAGTTAAAAGTGTGCGATTGTAAATATTAGATATTGTATCACCATTGCCAGCTGGTTATGCCAACTTACCCTCAATAGTTGAAATAAATTCGACTTTGTTCTTATCTCGGTTTGTGGACAGGATCCGATAAAACTCAGATAGCTTCTTGTTGGCAAAAAAAACCTGAATATAATAATCATAAACAGAGTAAAAGAAATGGGAATTAGTAGAGAATATATCATGCTAAAGTAGTAAAACTATAGAACTATATGACTGGACGCCATGAGGCAAGATGTGAACATCTTCTACCATGTACTGTATGTCCAACCAAAACGTGTTTTTTTTATTACTAGACATTGGAAAGATTAAACACTGTTGGGTCTTACTGCTATCTAGGACTCCTTTAGAAAGATTTCCCTTCACCTACTGTCTGCTTTGAAGTTAGAAATGTTCCCTTACTTTCTGTCTGGAGAAACTGTTGTCACTAGAATCATGTATGAGTTTTTAATTAATAATAAAAAAAACACTTTTATCTGAACACTTTAAGCCTCCTCTTCAGGACACCACGTAAGGTACAAATAAAATTGTAAATGGCCCTTCTGATAAAGAAGTCTAAATCCCACATGGCCTATAGATAAAAATCTCTAAAATATAGATCAATATATTGTCAGCTCCTCACCTCTGGAGTTAGGCCAAAGTGGTGGAAATTGGCAGTTATGTTCTCTCTGGTGACAACACGGAGTAATTCTGGAGGAGCATGGCGAAACATTCTGCTGGTGGAGATGTCTGTAGAGAAAAGACTAGAACATGAACTACATTTCTACCTTGTGCTGGTAGGAATGCAATTTGCAAAACTTGCCCAACTAATTTAACTCCTAGAAATAGTGCAACAGTAAACAATGCCCTAAGCCCTAAGCTTGTGCATCAAAACCAAACTAAGTAAAAAAAAATGTTGCAATCCAACTAGTGTATCCAAGTGTTCATAAATATTTATAGAAGTCCACTGTGAACTGGATAGGAGAGGCGGCCAGATAGCACATAAAGGACGTGCATTTTTCAGTTCCCCTATGTGCCGTCCAGCCGCCTCTCCTATCAATCTCCTGCATGCGGTCAGCTCTGGTATGCTCCCCCTGCCTCCCTCCCTCATCTCCTCCAGCAGCCCCCCTCCATCTCTTCTAGCGGCCCCCTCCCTCATCTCCTCTAGCACCCCTCTCCCTCTTCTCCTTCAGCACACCACTCCCTCATCTCCTTCAGTGCCCCCCCCATCTCCTCTAGCGGCCCACTGTCATTTCCTCCAGCAGCCCTCTCCCTCATCTTCTCCAGCTGCCCCCTCCCTCATCTTCTCCAGCTGCCCCCTCCCTCATCTCCTCCAGCGGCCCCCTCCCTCATCTCCTCCAGCGGCCCCCACCCTCATCTCCTCCAGCGGCCCCCTCCCTCATCTCCTCCAGCGGCCCCCTCCCTCATCTCCTCCAGCGGCCCCCACCCTCATCTCCTCCAGCGGCCCCCTCCCTCATCTCCCCCAGCAGTCCCCTCCCTCATCTCCATATGCCATCCCCAGTGCTGACAGTCCCGTCCCCCCCCCCCACACACACACAGATTGGAGAGGAGAGAGAAAGCTGCCCTTCCTCCCACCCTGTCCTCCTGTGTTTGCCCCGCCCACACTTCCAGCTAGCCTTGTGTCTTCTCTCCCCTCCTTCTTCTCTCTCTTTGTCTCCTGTTTCTCTCTCTCTTCTCTCTTTTTTTCTTTTTCCCTCTTTCCCTCCTACACAGTCCCCAATCACTTGAAGGAGCAGCATAACTCTGTCATCATGGATATAAAGATGCTCTGAGTCCCATGATGTGCTCCAAAACAAGGATTTTACAGGTAAACCAAAAATCCAATTTTTCAGATGTGCTCAGAAGTGTAGGTCCACCTGGAAAAGCAAAACAGAGCAGCCGCGATGGAAGTGGTTTATGAAATCATTATTCAACAATTTACACCTTACTGCTGTGCTTACCTTCCGTGAGGTTTAGTGGAAGCGATATGTTTTCAGCCGATGTGCTACTTAATAAGTTCTCTCCAGCTGTTAGGGCAGTGAGGACCTGGAATCCCAAACATGTCCCCCAGATAGGAAAATATATTCCAGAAGAAGCAGCCTGGTGGTAACAATTGAACCAAACACTGAGCAAAAAATATGGTCTATTTATAATTAAAAGGATAAATCAACCTGCACAAATATATTTTACCAGACACAGAGATAAAATACAAGAAGAAATATTACATGAGCTAGGTAAAAGAATTTGAGTAAACTTGTGCCTAAACTATGAACACCATTAGAGCAAGCAGTAAAGGCACTGTGCAAGCCCTCAATCATTTCTGTATCTATAGGCATTGTGGAGAAATTAGTCTTCAAAGTTTACAACTATGGCACTGAAATTCTAGCTTGTTCACTATTACTTTCTATTGCACAAGAATCTTGGCAGCCTGACAGCTCTCTAATGTAAATAATTAGCAGCTGTCCCTAAGCTGTTAGAAATGGACCACCACCCAACTTCAGAGTCTCCGCTGTGATCTTTGAGGATCTTTTTAGGATGGGTTCCTTCACAGTACACACAGTTATAAAGGTCAGGGACTCACTGTTTTAAAGCTCCTTTGGCTGCTTATTAAGATTATTCAAATAATGTCCATAATCCGGGCACAGTTCCATTTTAAGTAGCAAAAGAGGCACATCATGTTGGGCACAGGTTCCACATATACTATCAAAAAGCTAGGAGACATGACACTCTTACATTTGAAGTTGAGTCCTTCTGTTATTCCTGTGTATTTGAGGACCCTTTGACCACCATTCACAGCAGGAATCTCTTTTTTTATAATGCAATATGGGCCTGAGTGTTGTGCTTACTCACCTCAATAGACAATTTATAGAATATTCTAGCTGTCTTGGAAAAACTAGAAGTCAGAAGATCAACAGCTCCTCCTGGTAGAAGAACACTGTTAAAGAAATACACATCTATCATATCATTGTAACAAATTTCTGTAAGGTCCACATACCATCAAACTTTAAAAACATAGTACTGTCGTGACTCCTGATTTTGTTTAAAAGCGTAAGTGCAGCCAAAAGAAAAAATAGAAAAATCAGCACAAGGGACATAACTTAGTAGTTATTAGTGTCCCTTGTGCTGATATCTCTATCAGTTGAAATCCTCCTCCATCCATGCCCCCCACCCCTGCCACCATAATCTTCTGGGGAGGCAAGGGTTAATAAAACTAAGGGGCTGTCACAAGCTCTCACCAAGTGATAGTGAGCCGGACTATGCCAGCACTTGCTGCCCAGATGCTCCATTCATAGAAGCTGTACTACTAATCTATGAATGAAACAGGATTTAAGAATGGAGGACAGGTGGATGATTGAAATATCGGCCTTCTTCATTTATAGATCACATATTGACTTACTGACCGTAAGTTATTTCCCCTGTCCTGATTTTTCAGGGTTTTTTTCTATTTTGGCTTTTGTACTTAAGAAGTAGAAACATTTCCTCTTTGGTCTCTGGCCTTCCACTCACTAAAAATTTTAATGATCGGTGGAAGAAACAATAGAGATCCCAGATTTGTCTACTGTAGTTACTAGCACATAGAGCATAGGGTCAGAGTTCGCATTCTTGCCCTGCTGTCACTGCAACAAAATTGAATACCATTCTTAGAGCACATTTCCATGTTCACTTAGCAGAGATAGATTGCCCTTTGGACAGATACTGTAGATCTGACCAGTGGTCAAAAGCTAATTCACACTTGGTGCGAGATAGAATGTCAGGAGGTTCTCAGATACATGGTACCAATGTCATCATATTTCTAGAGAACTGCCATAGTGCTAAGATACATGTGCCTTAGTGCCAGTAAGTCGCCATACTGGTGACTTATCAGAGAGATGTGCAATGTTATAGAAAGGCACTTTGGAATAGGTTTCATAGCTAGTTCCCTACTGCCACACTGCCTCTGTCTTCAAAGGCAACAGATACAAGTTCAGCCACTAATATCTATTGAGCTGAATTATATGAGCATCTTCTTCTTTTAAAGAAGCCCATTTCTCAGAAACAGCAATTTGTACTCTGGACCTGGTCTCAGTGTTTTAATGGAAAAGGGCAATGGTCAATCAGAAGCTAAGGTAAAGGGACAAAGTGGGGTTGATTTGCTAAAACTAAAGAGTGCAAAATCAGCTTCTAACTTCAGTTTGTACAATTAAGCTTTGACAATAAATCCTGGAAACTATTTGGCTTCTATGCAGAGCTGCACCAGATTTGAATCTTCAGTCAACCCCAACTCCTTTATTGTGGAAGAAACTAAATATTAAAGAGGGAACTAAAAGATTGCTCAATTGAAGGGTTTTGAATAATGATGCAAGCAGTGATGACCTGTGTGCCGGGGACAATTAACATGATCAAATTAACTCTTTCTAATATCTTGTTTAAAAAACATTGTACTTTAATATTTATATTATCTTCATCTTGCTGTAACACCATTTAAGTTAGCCAGATAGGTTGTTTGCCTTTTTTAGGCAGAGGCTGAGTAGCAGCCTGGGATGAGTCAGCCTGTGAGTAAGGCAGAAGTTCACCTCAGGTCAGGCCAGGAGGCTTTATCAGGTCAGGGTTTCTGTAGCCCTCCCACCTCTTCAGAAACCTGAGAGCTTTCAGTTGGAGGAGTGATGGATGGAAGGAGGCCCAGATCTGCATGTTTGAGGAACTTTGGCAATCCTCTGGCAAGAGGCTGGGCATGGCGACCAGGGCAATCCTCAAATGTGGCAGAGTCTGGGGAGCAAGGGCAGACTGTCAGGTGGAAGATGGACTGAGAGGAAGGCTGGAGTGAGGAGCCTGTGAGCGGGCCCCAGGGAGGGAGCCTACCTCCAGGCAGTTGCTGGAAGGGAGCATCTCCTCTGTCCCATTATCTCCTTGGGAGGACAGCCTGTGAATCAGGGAAGGAGTCAGTCCAGCATACAGCCTGAAAGCAGCCACCAACTCACCAAGCAAACAGGGAAAGACAGAATGTGTAATCCTTCACATCTGGGCCAGATAAGGGGGAGGGCAGTCAGGTGCAATAACTAGTCTGCATCCGGGACTGTTCTCAGACTACAGTTCTTGCCCCCCGCCCTTACCCAAGGAATACCCCTAGGAAGCGCGGTGAAGAGGAGGATTCATCTGGAGTCTGAGGAGGTACACCAAAGATGCTCATAAAGGAGAGACTATTTTTGTCCACATTTTTGTACATAGTTGCTCTAAGTTGTCCTCAAGTTTACAGTTCCTTTAGGCATCCCGTATACCCCTAGACCCCATCCAAGTTGTCTTCATTCATTATGAAGAAAATTGAATAGAAAATTAGGATCTCGCTTGTTAAAATTTGAAGTGTCTGACTGCCTTTTACATGCAATAACTATCACTGGTGGTGTGACATCAAACACCCTGCAATTCACGTTAAGTCTGAACTCCAGCCTTATCTTTGTAAATGTATGTACAGTATGTCTTGTATTTTGTTCCTATAACTGATATTGATTGTACATGCGGCATTTGTGTTTAGTAAATGCACATTAATATTAGTACTGGGTCAGATTCCTTAACTTTATTGCAAGAATTACACAAACAGCAGCAACTGTGATTTGCAACCATTTCTAATTGAAAAAAGTTGTGGCTTTCGTCCAAGATCTGTACCAACCAGTGCGGCTTTTATCTGACATTTGAACCCAAAACAAAAGAAAACACCAAGTATGTAATAAAAGGTATGTAATAAAATCTCAAAGGTTTTCTTAAAAAACTTCATGAACAGGTTGATGAGGGGGGAGGAAAGAACCAAGGAAGGCCGAAATATAAGCCTATTAAGCTTCAGCTTTTTTTTGTGTGTTTTTTTTTTTTCATATCGTTTTTATGCGTTTCATACAGAGTGAAGAATTCAGTGATGTGTTTTTCGTACAGAGTGCAGGATTCAGCCATGTGTTTTGTACAGAGTGCAGGATTCAGGGATGCATTTTGTACAGAGTGCAGGACTCAGGGATGCGTTTCGTACAGAGTGCAGGACTCAGGGATGCGTTTCGTACAGAGTGCAGGACTCAGGGATGCGTTTCGTACAGAGTGCAGGACTCAGGGATGCGTTTCGTACAGAGTGCAGGACTCAGGGATGCGTTTCATATAGAGTGCAGGATTCGGCGATGCGTTTCGTACAGACGGCAGGATTCGGGGATGCGTTTCGTACAGACGGCAGGATTCGGGGATGCGTTTCGTACAGAGTGCAGGATTCGGGGATGCGTATCGTACAGAGTGCAGGATTTGGGGATGCGTTTCGTACAGACGGCAGGATTCGGGGATGCGTTTCGTACAGACGGCAGGATTCGGGGATGCGTTTCGTACAGACGGCAGGATTCGGGGATGCGTTTCGTACAGAGTGCAGGATTCGGGGATGCATTTCGTACAGAGTGCAGGATTTGGGGATGCGTTTCGTACAGAGTGCAGGATTCGGGGATGCGTTTCGTACAGAGTGCAAGGTTCAGAAGTTAGTTAAACCACAAAGATACCAATTAAACATTCACTAACATTCTAAAATCTTGATTAACAGCATACAGGAGCCGAGGCAAGAATGCAGGCATCAGATGGATAACAAGTGCAGCTGAGCAGGACCTGCAACAGTGTGATAGCAGCCATCTCAGAGTAAGCCAGCTTTGTATACAAAAGAAAACAGGAAGAAGAGAGGCGCCCTCTGAGTGCAGTTTGTAAGAAAACTTTTAATGAACCACAATGTTAAGACTCACAATGTAAGGAAGATAAACAAGCCCATCGGTAGACCGTTACTGTGTCGTGCAGGGGTCCATCCCGTGTGGAGCAGGCCGCTTAACCCTTTGAGGACCAAGGGACGTATTTGTCCCATGTTTTTAATTGCGTGTATCATCTGATTAAGAACTTAAAACTCTTTTTTTTTTTTTTTTTTTGGTTTGAGTGAAAATATTAGTTCTTATCAACAAACAACAAATGGATCTAGCTTTTTGCCAATTATTTCATGAAATGGCTTAGTTACAGCAACTGAAGTGTACGAACTTTAAAAACAAAAAAATTGATTCTTTTGGCGTTTCCAAAATTTTACGGTCCTCAAAGGGTTAAGGTAATGACAGAATCCTGGGCTGCTGGGGAGAGTGGAGGGTCCCACAGTCTTGTGAGTGTCAGGTAGAATCCCAGGAAGCTGGAGGTGATCGAGAATCCAGGGCTCCGTCGTCCGACCATAACAAATAGTGCCTGTGACCAGCGTGAACCCCACGGGGCGGAAGTGACGTCACACAGGAAGAGATGCAGTGAACTGAAGGGAGGACACAAGGCTACGTGCTTGGAGCTGACTGCTCCTTCTACTGGCCTTTCTCGATCACCTCCAGCTTCCTGGGATTGTGCCTGACACCCAGCACGAGACTGTGGGACCCTCCATAGTCTACTGATAGGCTTGTTTAACTTCCTTACATTGTGAGTTTTAACATTGTGGTTCATTAAAACTTTTCTTACATACTGCACTCAGAGGGTGCCTCTCTTCTTCCTTTTTTCTTTTGTAAACAGTGTAAACACCTAGCACAGCCAGGGAATGGTGGACAAGCCGGCGGGGGTATGACTGCAATGAGAGAGAAAGTGCAGCTGTCAAGTCCAACCTGTGATGTCAGGGATGGGTGGGGCCGATATGCATTTCAGCAGCTCCACCCCCCTTTTAAAAGCAACTTGTTCATAGGAAAACAGCCAGAATTTATACAGTGCCAACCAGGAAAAAAGTGGCAAGGGGCAGGGCCAATTGGAACTATTGCATGTGCACCCACAGCAGTGTAGAATTCAGGTTTATTATACACCACTGTGGGTGCACATGCAATAGTTCCAATTGGTCCTGCTCCTTGTCACTGTCTTCCTTGGCCAGCAATGTGTAAATGCCGACTCTTTGTCTATGCAGTGCTTGCTTGGCAAAGGGGGTGGAGAAATGCATATCAGCCCCGCCCATCCCTGACATCACAGGG